GGAGAATATTGAAAGTGCCATGGGCTGCCAAAAGAACCAATAGATCTGTTTTGGAAGAAGTGCAGCCAGAGTGCGCCTTAGAGGCCAATATGGCCAAACTGTGTCTCTCATACATTGGACATACTGTCAGGAGGGAGCAATTGCTGGAGAAGGTTATCATGTTTGGTAAGGTGGAGGGTCAGAGAAAGAGAGGAAGACCCCCAAAGAGATGGATTAGCCAAGTGGCAGCATCGATGGACTCAAGCGTGGCAACAATAGTAAGGTTGGCCCAGGATCGGGCAGTGTTTTGTTCTGCTGTACATAAGGTCACTATGAGTCGGTACCGACTCGATGGCACCTAACAACAACAAGGCTTTACACTGAAGAGACAAACATGTTCTTTGATCTGAAGAGTCTTCCATTCCACTTGGAATTTTGAGCAGCTGAATCCATAAGCAAAAGTCCAGTTTATCAAATTAGCAATTTACATTTGCTCCCACTATTACAGTTTTATCTGGTCTGGTTCTGGTCTGCTCAGCTCTAGCCATCTAAGCTGTGTCAAAATGGGTATAAGCTGCAAGTTGGGGGGTTTGTGCACACCTCCCTGCACTGCAGACCAGCTGGCTTTTTCACCCTCAGCTCTGGACCCCAGGGACTAGGTCAGTGCTCAGGAGTTCACACAAGTCCCTAAACTTCAGACCAGCCAGCAACCAGCTCCACCTCTTCTCTCTCTCATCTCAAGGTTAAGGGGTGCCAGTGGAACATGTCCAAACTCAGCCTGCGTCTTCATTGCTGCACTGCCCCCACTTCCACTCACAAGTAGACCCAGTTGATCACCAGTGAGCACACTAGACTCTTTTCAGATTCCCATTAACTTTTAGTCCTTGAAAGGTGTTCTCTCTAGTGGGCTTTTCTTGCCTTGATTGCTTGAAAGGCAAAAGGCAAACCAGTCTGCTTTTTCTGGGGGGTCTGTCTTTCAATAAGAAACTTCTGTTCTTCCAGCAGTTCTGCTTGGGTCAGCATGTCTTTTCATATACAAATATACCAACTCAGAAAGTTCTGGGTGGGGCTCAGGCTTCCATCTAAGGCTGCCATACTCTACAAAGGCTAACAAGAGGCCTTATTTCTCTGGGCAAAATGCTAACTCCCCTTTTAGCAAATCCAATAGTTCCAGGCTGAAGACAGATTTACAAGCTTTCTGTAATCACAATTCCCAGTACATTGATTTCCATCACACATGTATATCTATTTACCATAATTGGCAGGGGAAACCAATATCCACAAAGCAGTCAAACACATAAACCTTTTTTTTAAATCTCCCCTCCTTTACCCATTGGAGTAAGGGAGGGAGGATATATTACTGTGGCAGCATCGAAGGATTCAAGCGTGACAACAGTAGTGAGGTTGTCCCAGGATCCGTCAGTGTTTCATTCTGCTGTGCATAAGGTCGCTATGAGTCGGTACTGACTCGATGGCACCTAACAACAACTACAGCCAATGCTGATAAATTGAATTCTCTCAATATCTTCAGTCTGAAATTGATCAAACATGCAATCAAGATGTACTGATGATTACTGGCAATTGGAATGCAAATGTT